AGAACATTACTGACATGGTTGGACAGACTAAGAGACAGATGGACAGAGATGTTAATTATTCAATCGAGTGGCCAAATTGCTGCGAACACAAGGAAGCAGACGCCTCACAAACCGGCCTGCGTACCTGAGTACTTGCGCTGGGGCGCACAGCTGCTGTAGCCCCACTGGCGTCCTGCACCTCAACCCTGCTGGACAGCACTCCGAAGCACTGCGAGGACTCCTGGTAACAGATCCGCCTGGGAGAGAGATGCAGAGCGTCAGCATTGCGGAGCAGTCAGCGTTCCGACAGTGTCAGAGAGTAAGCGTGTCGTCTCTCACCTGGGACTCTCGTACAGTGGGACAGTGCGAATGTGCAGCTTCTGAATCTCATCAATGGTGCCAATGGTCAGAGTGCTGTTATTGGCCAGAGCCAAACTGACAGAGACAGCAACAAAGCGAACAAACAGCCCGATGAGAGAGAGAGGAAAGCACTGTTAGGGACAGTTCCTGAATTTTACATCAGAAATGTACACAACTTGTTCAAGTACAATTCTCACAATCTGAAAGAACCCAATCTTAACTAGACATATCATCAGATAAAATGTGATAATAAAAAGAAAACTTTTTAACAACTGCAAAGCAAAAGATTAATTCCAGGCCTAGTCCGGTCCGGGGACACTCTCACACACAGACCAGACCCGGTGCGGTCCGGGGACGCTCACACACACACAGACCGGACCCAGTCCGGTCCGGTCCGGGAACGCTCACACACACACAGACCGGACCCAGTCCGGTGCGGTCCGGGAACGCTCACACACACACAGACCGGACCCAGTCCGGTGCGGTCCGGGAACGCTCACACACACACAGACCAGACCCAGTCCGGTGCGGTCCGGGGACGCTCACACACACACAGACCGGACCCAGTCCAGTCCGGGAACGCTCACACACACAGACCATACAACATGGGGAAGCTCTTATGAGATCTGCGAGGAGAGAGGCAATTGTAAGGAGAGAGAAGAGAGGAGAGAGAAGGAGAGGAGATTGTAAGGAATAAGGAGAGGAGATTCTAAGAACAGAGGAGAGAGAGGAAGACAGAGGGAGAGAGAGACAGAGGGGTTATGGGAGACAAATGAACACCCAGGAAGCAGTAGGACAGAAAGTTAAGAGAAATGAACCAGAAAAAGTCTGAGAATAAACAAAGGAGGATGATGTGGGGATACCCCACTATCACAGCTCACCCCAGATTCTAGAGCACGTGCAGAGGAGCTCACCTGTCGGGGTACCCCTCTGAGTTGAGAGGACACATGTAGTTCACCTCCTTCAGGTTGACGTTGGAGAAGACGAGCTTGTGGTTGCTGCTGTAGATGACGGTGGGCCGGTCGGAGCAGGCGAACACGTTGGAGGTGGAGAGCGAACGGAAGGTGCGCAGCACTGTGGGCTGAGTGCCCAGGGTCACCTTCTTCCGCTCACTGAGCGCACCTGGGCAGGGAGCAGCAGGCTTAGACACCTGAGCGGCACAGACACTCTCTCTCCTCCAGAGCCCCCCCACACACACACAGATACTTCCAGTCCT